AAAAGAGAAAAAAAAAAAAAAAAAAAAAAAAAAAAGAAACTTTTTAAGAAGCCAAAACATCATTTTGAAATATTTATTTTATTGTAACAATCCAGTTCCAGGTTTAAGTGATTCTTAAGATCCATACTGTACTGTTCCTATTCCTCTGATTAGCGTTTTCTCACAAGCCACCAATCTTTCCTAATCTTCTGTACTGCTACCAAAACACAAAAAACTATTTCTGCTAGATACATCAACTATGAAATTAAACTAGTCATTTTTAGAAAAACTGCTCAACTCTCAAAATATGAACCTGCATCTTTTATCATGCACAGTTATAAAGCCCTCTGCACCCAATGTTCCAATTAATTTTTTAAAAATTCATGAAATATGGTACTAGTTGTGTTTTTACCAATAGGATACCCAGGACGAAGCAGTAAGGGTTTTGATAAAAACTCAGATACATTTGAGAACACGTGTAAGAAGATGTACACAATGCCTGGATCTTGAATGCCTGGGAAAAGCAACTGATAATCGGACTTTTATATCATACTCCTGACCTGCCTAAAATTTTATTAATTCCAATCTATTACGGCCCCCAATACTTCAAAATAAACCTTTTTTACCAGAGAGATTTCCGTCATATACAGATCCCAACAATATTTCCTGTAACTTCCACTTTTATCATCCTGTGTTCAGGTTTTACTATGCCTCCATTCCCTGCCTTCCTTTGTCCTACTTCCTCTTCTGTACTTCCTTCCACTTCCATTGATTCCTTATTGCTTTCCCTTCTCTCTTTATTCTATTTTTCACCCTATACACTAGAGCAGCCTAGGCATTATTTTTCACCCTATGCACTAGAGTGCAGAGTGCAGTTGGCACACTACAGCCCAGGGACCAAATCCAGACCACCGCCTGTTGTTGTAAATAAAGTTTTATTGGAACACAGCCACACCCGCTCACTTAGCTATAGTCTTTGGCTGCTTTCCTGCTATTGAGGATAGAGTTGAACAGTTGAGACAGAGACCATATGGTCCACAAAGCCTAAAATATTTACTCTCTGGCCCTTTACAGAAAATGTCGGCCATCCCCTGCCTCAGAGGTATAGAAGGAAAGACTATATTTTTCACCATCTATAGATTTTTTTTTTAAATGACCACATCTCATCAGAGAATGTACGAACAATTTCTAGTGAGTAAACCTTGTATCACTAACACAGGGTGCCATCTCACAAATACTTCTCACTCCTTCTTTCAAGTTTTACATAGTCCAGTACACAACTTGACTGGGTCTAACTTTCCTGGCCCAATGACTGATCACCGCTCTAATACCTAAACAACAGAAAATCTGGCTAAACAAGTAGTATAGGCATACTGGAGAGCCTTTTATAAATACAGAGA